AATCCCACATATCCCAAATTCCACATATCCCAACTCCTCACATCCCCCAATCCCACATATCCCAAATCCCACATATCCCAAATTCCCCATATTCCAAATCCCACATATCCCAAATTCCCCATATTCCAAATCCCACATATCCCAAATTCCCCATATTCCAAATCCCACATATCCCAAATTCCCCATATTCCAAATCCCACATATCCCAAATTCCCCATATTCCAAATCCCACATATCCCAAATTCCCCATATTCCAAATCCCACATATCCCAAATTCCCCATATTCCAAATCCCACATATCCCAAATTCCCCATATTCCAAATCCCACATATCCCAAATTCCCCATATTCCAAATCCCACATATCCCAAATTCCCCATATTCCAAATCCCACATATCCCAAATTCCCCATATTCCAAATCCCACATATCCCAAATTCCCCATATTCCAAATCCCACATATCCCAAATCCCACATATCCCAAATCCTCACATCCCCAAATCCTCACATCCCCAAATCCTCACATCCCCAAATCCTCACATCTCCAAATCCTCACATGCCCAACTCCACACATCCCCAAATTCTCACATCCCTCAATCCTCACATCCCCAAATTCTCCTCTCCCCAAATCATCACATCCCCAAATCCCCCTCTCCCCAAATTACCAAACCTCCCACCACCCAAATCTCCAAATTGCAAAACTCAAAACTAACCCTGTCACATCCTCCACAATAATCCTCCATAAACTCCATAAATTATTTAATGCTAATGTTAACGTTGAAATAACGAACAGTAGATTTTAAAAAGGACCTGAAATATTGAATCGTAGCAGCGTAATTTTATTTCCGTAATCGTGACACGTCCCGAAGTAATACGTTCCATTTCCCGGCGTATCATTTCATTTCCGAGGGTGTGTTTTATGGCCATTTTGTTCCTAAATCGCTCGAATAATTCTGCCGTTTATAACCATTCGCATAAGTGAGAAACAGGGAAAACAATGGGACTAGGTACGTACGCCAGCGAAGTTACATTTTCTCATCAAGAATGTACTTAGGAATTCTTGCAACCCAGTTGGATTTCCATGAAATATTCATCGGGAAGTTACTTGGAATTCATTGTACTCAAAAGTTACTTCGAACAAATGTTACAACGATAAGCAGATCTTTCTTCGAGCTACTGATTCTGTTATCCCTTGGCCACTGTTTATTGCAACTTTTTACCACAAACATTCTTTCTCTATTAAAGATGTATCTTTAACAATTCAACGTAACTATTGATTATTTAAAATTAACCTCCAAATGAATAATACTTGCTTTAACCCCTTAACCTAACAATATCGTCTTCCACATATGACGCAGATAACTGTTGAAATGTAACAAATCTGGCTTACATTTTCACCGCAATTCAATTTCGTGTTTAATTTAAATTTCTACCCCTCCACCAATGATCGCCATATATAAAACATCCCTAACATTTGAACATTCTTTATCTATCTTAATGTCACAATAATAATTAAGTCATCCTCTCTAACGCACTCGCTCACAAAATAAAAAATTAAGGGTTTAATCATAATACTTGTATTAATAAATTTGAGTAAGAAAAACAATTTCCGGTAAAAATATTTCAGCCACAAGCGACAGGTAGAAGAATAACCAGGAACGGCTTTATAACACGCGTTATCTAATAGTTCGTTAGGAGAGCCACGAAGAAAAGCTATACAACCGGTCACGTATTAGCTCTTCCCCTCTAAAGCAACAACCTCGATACCCTTTCCCGCTGGGTAACAATAAAAGCCCGGCGGGCTGTTAGGTTTAAGGAGACGAGAGCGTGGACGAAATTCAAGTTAAAACCAGCAAAAGCAAGCAGGCGGCTTCGAGTGGCCAGGGAATGTGGAACGTTCCTCTAAAGTCTAAAGCTTGTCTCATGGAGACGCGTTCTCTTCTTTCGCAAAGCTAATTTTAACCCTTTGTACTGGGACATTCCTTTTTTCGTTGGGAAACAAGGAGATTCGCGGTGGACCGCTGGGATTTAGGTTGAGCCGATATGTCGTGGGTACATGTGAAATTCTAATGTGAAAAAATTTGTGAGGTGAGCGATGTTTAGATGTGTAAGTGGTTGCAAATAGTAGGTGCTGGAGGTATAATTAGTTGCAAATGTATTGCAAATGTTGCGAATATAATGCGTGGAAAATTCGGCGCGTAAAAAATTCCACGCGAGGGAAATTCGACGCGCGGAAAATCCGGCGCGTAGGAAATACCACGCGTGGAAGACTCGACGCGTAGAAAATACCATGCGTGGGAAATTCGACGCATAGAAAATTCGGCGCGTGGAAAATTTGACGCGTAGAGAATTCCACGCGTGAGAAATTCAATGCGTGGAAAATTCGGCGCAAAGAGAATACCACAATTCGGCGCGTAAAAAATTCCACGCGAGGGAAATTCGACGCGCGGAAAATCCGGCGCGTAGGAAATACCACGCGTGGAAGACTCGACGCGTAGAAAATACCATGCGTGGGAAATTCGGCGCATAGAAAATTTGGCGCGTGGAAAATTTGACGCGTAGAGAATTCCACGCGTAAGAAATTCGATGCGTGGAAAATTCGGCGCATAGAAAATTTGGCGCGTGGAAAATTTGACGCGTAGAGAATTTCACGCGTGACAAATTCGATGCGTGGAAAATTCGGCGCGTGGGAGATTCGGCGCAAAGAGAATACCACGTGTGGAAAATTCGGCGCGTAGAGAATACCACGCGTGGAAAGTTCGGCGCGTAGAAAATACCACGCTTAGGAAATTCGGCGCGAGGAAAATTCAACCCGTGGAAAATACCACGCTTGGGAAATTCGACGCGTGGAAAATTTGAAGCGTGGAAAATTCGGTGCGTGGAAAATACCACGTGTAGGAAATTCAACGCGAAAATACCACGCGTGGAAAATTCGGCGCGTAGAAAATTCAATGCGTGGAAAATTCGGCGCGTGGAAAATTTAACGCGTGGAAAATACCACGCGTGGAAAATTCGGCGCGTAGAAAATTCAATGCGTGGAAAATTCGGCGCGTGGAAAATTCAACGTGTGGAAAATTTAACGCGTGGAAAATACCACGCTTAGGAAATTCGGCGCGTGGAAAATTCAACCCGTGGAAAATACCACGCTTGGGAAATTCGACGCGTGGAAAATTTGAAGCGTGGAAAATTCGGTGCGTGGAAAATACCACGTGTAGGAAATTCAACGCACGAAAAATTCAACGCTTGAAAAATACCACGCGTGTAAAATTCAACACACAGAAAATTGAACGCGTGGGAAATCCAACATGTAGTCCCTGCAACGCATAGAAAATTCAACGCGTGGGAAATCGCACGCATTCGAAATACAACGCATAGTAGATTCACTTCGTGGGAAATTCTACATATGAGCGATACAAATTGCATCATATATAACTCATGGTAAATTCTTCATTCAGAAAATGCAAGTAAAAAATTTCACTGAATTTCTTAATAAGCAGCCTACGTCAGCGTCCACACAAACAGTTTACGAGTGGATTGTACAATCGATAACAATATTGCGACAATAAAATTTGTCAATCAACTGCATAAAAGTTTCTTTAATGGCTAATGAGGTATCGATCAGAAGTCTTATGACAACTGGGAATATTGCAACTTATCTGTGAACACGTTCTTTGAAACTGTTAAAAAGAACAGAATCAGCGTATTTGAGTGGTTGATTGAGCCATGTCTTGCGCAAGTTTCTTCAATTTCGTTTGCTTCGCATCGATGTCGTGTTTGATCGTCGATTCTCGTCGAACACCGGTTCTAAACACGTCAATCGGGCCTGTACGAGGATTGGTACTACGAACTGCTTGGGATGGAATCAAATATTCGGCGTTCAAGGGAATACCGTATGCTGAACCACCCCTTCGTCAACTCAGATTCAGAGTAAAGTGTTTTGTGTGCTTTATGTGGTTCATATATTTGTTCGTGTTGTTAGCAATTTTATGGGTGTTGTGTAATGTGCTTATGGTACAGTTATTGGTTAAAGAGTTTGTAAAAGGTTTTGTGAAGGGTTTTTGAAGGGTTTGTAAGGGGTTTGTTAATTAGCTACATCTATTGGGGGATATTTTATACATCTTTTATTGTATATTTTTTTTGCAAAGGAAATGTGTGGACTACTATTGAAATTGTGAAAGAGATGCAAGTTTAATATTTGATGAAAATGTTCATTAGTCCACTATAAATATATAAGTTCATTTTCATTTTCGTTCAGTTTGTATAAAATGTCTCAATCTTTAATACTTTGTATTTTTTTATTATTTCAATTATTACCTCTTTAAATGAAATTTTTATTACATCAATTTCGAATGAGATGAAGTCTTACACAAACAAATATGTGATCTCCTAAACAAATTTACAAAAACCTAAATTACATAAACTAGCTTCTATAAAATTAGTTTTAACATTCGAACAAAAACAGCCACCAGTGCCCATAGCACCATGGAACGAAGTATTAAACGCCTTCCAAGAGGGCAGTGTGTGCCCCCAAAGAGATATCATGAGCACCAAGTTGATGGGCCACGAAAATTGCTTGTACCTCAACGTCTTCACTCCAGAGGTAATTTTAATTTATTCCCATAAAAATTGTAGAAATAGATGTGATACAGACATCAATGAATATGTTGTCAGACAAGATTTACGAGGCTGTCGAGACGGAGACCCGTTATGGTGTGGATACACGGTGGCGCCTATCGATCAGGCTTCAGCAACTCGTCCTTTTATGGACCTGATTTCTTCATTGAGGAAGATCTTGTTTTCGTCAGCTTTAATTATCGCCTGGGACCTCTCGGTACTTTCTTTCTTTCAAATCCTATTATTTCTTTCGAGTTGTAAGGTTTATGGAAATGAAATAAGATCTTGTTTATGGAAATGAAATTTTATTTCATATTGATACTATGCAAATATTTATTGTCTACAAAATTGAGCATTTTTATATTTGATTTTATATGTTCAATAATTGACTATGCAAACATTTATTGTCTCTAAAATTGAGGAATTTTGTACTTGATTTTATATGTTCAATATTTGATTATGCAAGCATTTATTGTCTCTAAAATTGAGCAATTTTATATTTGATTTTATATGTTCAATACTTGACTATGCAAACATATGTTGTTTCCGAGATTAATCAATTTTATACTTGATTTCATATGTTCAATACTTAACTATGCAAACATATGTTGTCTCCGAAATTAATGAATTTTATACTTGATTTCATATGTTCAATACTTGACTAAGCAAACATTTATTGTCTACAAAATTAAACAATTTTATACTTGTTCTCATATGTTCAATACTTGACTATGCAAACATATGTCGTCTCCGAAATTAATCAATTTTATACTTGATTTCATATGTTCAATACTTAACTATGCAAACATATGTTGTCTCCGAAATTAATGAATTTTATACTTGATTTCATATGTTCAATACTTGACTAAGCAAACATTTGTTGTCTCCAAAATTGAGCAATTTTATACTTGATTTTATATGTTCAATACTTGACTATGTAAACATTTATTGTCTACGAAATTGATTTTGATTGATCTTCAAGTCTAAATAATTTTTATCAGTCTTGTTTTAAAGTGTTCACTTTACTCAATACTTGTAAATTGTCCCCAAACTGAAATTATCAATTTTAGGGTTTTTGACCCTGAAGCACCCGAACGCGACAGGGAACGCAGGTTTGAAGGACCAGAACCTGGTGCTGAGGTGGGTGAAAAGCAACATCGCCACATTTGGTGGTGATCCAAGTCAGGTAACGATTTTCGGAGAAAGTGCTGGGAGCACAGCTGTGGGCTTTCACATGTTATCGAAGCAGTCGAGAGGTACGCATGAAGCATTATATTCATTGTATTAAGCATTGCATTCATTGCATAAAACATTTTGATTCGGGTTAATAATGTGTTTTCTAATCAGGTCTGTTTCTACGATCGATTAGCATGAGCGGAACACCATTATGCCCGTGGGCATACCACCCACCGGAGAATATCATTGCGAACGCTCATTATGTTGCTGCCACCCTTGACTTCGCGCCGAAGAACAAGGATGACCTGTTGAACTTCCTTCAACGGGCCCCTGCGATGGATCTTGTGGATGCTGGAGGGATAATAGGACTGGTATATATTACTAATCTATCATTTTTATTTAGTATCTACACAATTATGCTTCACCATTAAAAATAATACTGAACAAAATCCATCATTATAAGTAATCGAAGTAATTCATATTTTCAGGATTTCCTTCCCTTTCGACCAACAGTAGAAGATCCAAAAATCAACAAAAACGCCTTCTTGACAGAGTGTCCTATAACACAATACTCCAACGGGAATTTTTATAAACATTCCATGATGATGGGATACACCCGTGACGAGGTGGTTTTGTTTCTAGGTCGTGAGTATTGTTTTTAATAAATATTGAGAAACGAGAGTAACGAGAGTAGTGAAACAATATTAATTTATATGGTTCGGTATCACGTTTCATTTTCCCAGCGACCATCACACCGATCGGTATAGGCAACATGATTGATTGGGCTAAAAAGTATGTGAGCAGCATGACCGAACATCATGAACGCATGACTGCTGACCCGTTAAATCGCTTAGCGTTGTTGGTAGAAAAAATTTATAACTCTACGTACGCCGAAGGTGTGAAGGTAAAATTATTTTGTGTATATTAAAATTGATTTTAATAATTGGTATAAGATATTGCTGTTTGCAGATCGCGAATGATATTTTCTTTAGTGGTCCTATTGATTTGACTCAGAGATTATTGGCAAGGAGTAATGAGGAACATCCGATTTATTATTATCGACTGTCGTATCAGACTCAGCATTCTATGCATAAGATGTATGATAATCCGCTGAATGGTGAGTGTAATTTATATTTTGAGTAATTGACGTTTTTGTTATGACGCGTTGTATTGTCAAGTGTTAGATTACCACCTGTTAGAGATTACTGCACACTAGATTACCATGCGTGAGAGTACCATGCGTGAGAGTACCATGCGTGAGAGTACCATGTGTGAGAGTACCATGTGTGAGAGTACCATGCGTGAGAGTACCATGCGTGAGAGTATCATGCGTGAAAGTACCATGCGTGAGATTACCACGCGCTAGATTACTACGCGTGAGAATACCATGTATTGATTTGACTCAGAGATTATTGGCAAGGAGTAATGAGGAACATCCGATTTATTATTATCGACTGTCGTATCAGACTCAGCATTCTATGCATAAGATGTATGATAATCCGCTGAATGGTGAGTGTAATTTATATTTTGAGTAATTGACGTTTTTGTTATGACGCGTTGTATTGTCAAGTGTTAGATTACCACCTGTTAGAGATTACTGCACACTAGATTACCATGCGTGAGAGTACCATGCGTGAAAGTACCATGCGTGAAATTACCACTCGCTAGATTACCACGCGTGAGAATACCATGCGTGAGAGTACCATGCGTTAGATTACCACGCGTGAG